TTAGCCCCCGTGGGAGTTTAAATTGATAACTTTTATGCTTCGAAAAAGTCAAAAGGCCCCCATCCTCCAGGCGCTGCTCTTGATCACAACTGCTGTGAAAGAAATGAAATCAAATACATTTAATAAAGACAAAGCCCAGACATCATTTTCAGAGTAGACAAAAAGACAATCTTTATTTGTGTGTTTCTCTCCTGGATTTGAACTCTTGTGTTTTACTTTTGACTGACTTTTCATAACCAAGGCCAGCTTCCACAAAAAAACAACCACAAACAGAATAAACGTAGACACTCAACCATCGGAGGCATCCTAACCAGCTACCGACCATGGATTTACAAACCATAGAAGAACGTGGAGAAGAAGTAGAGAAGACACATTTGTATAATCTTCCACAGGCTATGTCCTATGTCCCATCGCTGCAGCCCAGGCAGGAGCCATCGACAGTGACTTTAAATGCTACAAAAATAAGATGAGAAGTGTGTGTTTTTGCGTTTTACATATCTCTGTATATATCCATGCTCAATGTTCCCGGCCCCATTCAGACCTGCAGTTAAAATCACTCATTTGTCAAACTTTATATGGGTTACAAGTGGTCAGCTATAGTGGTAGTTTTGGTCTTATATGTACATACACAAAGATATTATTGCTATCAGGCAGGAGACATTCAACCTTCAAAACGTAGGCAAGTCAAAACACTGCATTTAGTTTCGGATTTGACTAGTGCATTATCAAAGTTAAAGTACAAATTATTTACATTTGATTGTAAAAGACATGTGGACAGTTTGAACCTTGACATTTTGCTTTTACAATTATACAACATTGTGACATGGTGGCAACACACACACACACGCACACACATGCACGCCCACATACACACGCACGCACGCACACACTCACACACACAAAATAATTACCGCTGCTGCAAACTTTTAAGGTGCAGTTACTACTGTGTGTAAATCAATTACATTTTTCGACATCACGACTTTGATGGGTGGCTGACACAAACAGGAATGAAAACACAAAGGATCTATTAGCACCGTAATAAGAGGCATGGAGTTTAGTGCGCCTGTATCTGCCATTGAAGTTAAAACCCAAGACACATTTTGTTACACGCTATGGTGAGTCACGTAGATAGGAAATGTACATTGAAGGTTTGAGAAGGACAGGAATACAGTTCACGGCAATAACTAACATCTGATGATTGGTCACTGGGAAGGCGGTCTATAAACCAAAACTGAATCTTCCAACAGCGAGAGAGAGAACAACAGAGAGCGAGAGAGAGAGAAAGAGAGAGAGAGAATATATATATATATATATATATATATATATATATATATATATATATATATATATATATATATATATATATATATATATATATATATATATATATCAGTGGTTCCCAACCTTTCTTGTCCAAACATGATCGACTTATGACTGTATAGAAGAAGAGGACAACTCAAATGTCACCCATAGGAAGGAGCCAATTAGAACATAAACTAGCTCTAGCCTATTTCCATATATGGGCATTTGGTCTGACGACTATAGCTTTGTGCCATAGAAGGGGCAGACGTGTTGTTAAGATGGTTACTTAGGCAAGCTGTTTACTTATATTTACTATAGCTGTCAGTAAGATCATGGTATATATACCATGGTATAATAAAAGACAATTAGGCCTGTTTGCTAGCAATGAATGCTAGGGGAAAATGATGATTTGATTTTGAACCGTTGGGAGGCAGTTTTAGGCCATACTTTTCACACTTTGTACTATTTGCATCAAGCACTGCTGCTAAAACTGGCTGACAACAGTGTAGAAATATCTTTTATGATGGAGGTTTTTTGTCTCTTTAATATAGGCTGGAAAAATGCCCACAAGAAATGACAGAGATAACTTAACACTGCATCTACCAGTTTGAAATACACACAAAACCATAAAACTCAAAGACATACTAAGAGGTGACATTTCTGAGCACTTGTAACCAGTTCGTACAAAAGTTTTTCTCCAGGTCTGACCGGGGGCCGATTCAAATGCCTTTTACTGTTTCTACAAATGTATGCGTATAAATCTGTACACTGATTTCTATGTAGTTGTGTGTGTGTTCACAGTGCTTGCTCATGTTTCGTTCTAACATTACAGAAGTCCCACGACACGCAGCTGCACCAATCCTCCGCTGCTCCGTCTTCTTTGCACACTTTTGTCCATAATAAATGCTTTTCCAATCTCCAAGGACATTATCAAAGAATCTCTATGCGTGAGTGCAAGTGTGTGTCCTGTGATGCTACTACACACACTCCTATGCCGTTCAAATGTGCTTTCCTTTTACAAAGAGCAAACTCCCATAGAAACAGTTCAAGTTAAGAGTTTTATGTCCGTCGTGACCCGTCAGCATTGAGGGCTCATACTCAGTCAGTTTTACCCCCTCGGCCCATTTGTCTCTCCAGCACGAGCCGATCCATCAATGACCAAAAGCCAGACAGGAGAAAACGTGTGAGCGGAGAGAGGTTGTTGTATTTTTGTATTTTTTGTCCATTTTTAAAAAGTCTTCAAAGAGGGCAAGAAGAGCGCTGGTGGAATAGGTGTTTCAGAATAATCCCCCATGAAAAAATAGATCATCAATACAAACAAGAATTTTCACAGTGGTCATGCAACTTACAGTGTCGCCATTTTCTTCAATACGTCCGGCATAAGCACAACCCATAAGCCCCGCCCCCTCCCGAAATGCTTGCGATCCCCCTCTTGTTCATTTTGTCTCGTCGTTCTGATAGAAGTTAAGTGACCACAGTCAAAACAATATAGAAAGACAAGAAAGAGGTGGTGGGTGACCAGTGGTACATTCATATAAATGAGAAAGTCATGGCCACCCGAACCAGTTAACATAGACAGTGCAGAGCGAGCCTGTGCTAGCCAGGCCGTGATAAATGCTTTATTTAGAAACATGTAGAAGACAAAATACTCCCCTTTACTCCCCTGAAAATATACACCTTACCCCGTCCCACCCGCAACCTCCCTTTACCCTATAGCCAAAACTCAGCATGATTAAACTTGCCTTACACGTCCTGTTAGAGTTGATGCTTAAAAATGTGAGACAGGCTTCAACTCTAGCAATTTTCTGTTCAAGTCCAGGTAAAACAAAACATGAACAATTATATATATTCTTATTTTGAAATTAATTATTTTCAAAGTTTTGTGAGTATATATGATGTAAATGTTCCCTCTCTTGTTTTGCACAGATTTGCCCTGTGTGTGATTACTGCTCTAAAAAAAAACTTGCCTTCCAAGATTGGAGATTTAAATATTTGGGACACATTAGTATATTAGATGGTTAACTCTCCGAAACCCCTCACATTGGAGTTGCACATTTGACATTGATTGACTGCATTTTTTCTTCTAAAAATTTGGGTTGAAACAGACAAAAGAAACTGTAGATAAAATATGACTGAAATCAATAGCACATTGATTTTGAGAATCAGCACCTCCAAATCTGAGGCCATGGTGCTCGACCGGAAAAAGGTGCCTTGCCCTCTCCGGGTGGGTGGAGAGGCCCTTCCTCAAGTGGAGGAGTTCAAGTATCTCAGGGTCTTGTTCACGAGTGAGGGAAGGATGGAGCGTGAGATTGACAGGCGGATCGGTGCAGCGTGCGCAGTGATGCGGTCGCTGTATCGGACCGTTGTGGTAAAGAGGGAGCTGAGCCGAAAGGCAAAGCTCTCAATTTACCGGTCAATCTTCGTCCCCTCCCTCACCTATGGTCATGAGCTTTGGGTAATGACCGAAAGAACAAGATCGCGGATACAAGCGGTCGAAATGAGCTTCCTCCGCAGAGTGGCTGGGCGCTCCCTTAGAGATAGGGTGAGGAGCTCAGTCACACGGGAGGAGCTCGGAGTAGAGCCGCTGCTACTCCACGTCGAGAGGAACCAGTTGAGGTGGCTCGGGCATCTGTTCCGGATGCCTCCTGGACGCCTCCCTGGGGAGGTGTTCCGGGCATGTCCCACCGGGAGGAGGCCCCGGGGAAGACCCAGGACACGCTGGAGGGACTATGTCTCTCAGCTGGCCTGGGAACGCCTTGGAGTCCCCCCGGACGAGCTGGAGGAAGTGTGTGCGGATAGGGAAGTCTGGGCGTCTCTGCTTAGACTGCTGCCCCCGCGACCCGGCAAGGGATGAAGCGGAAGAAAATGGATGGATGGATGGATGAAATCAATAGCAGAAATCTATATGGTAAAAATATGTAAGACACATTTTGGGAACAGTTTGTGAGAATCCAGATTGCTGTATAGAAAGTGTTGTGGACTAAACTAATGTTAACTACTCATAAAAAAACAGCATTGTTGGCAACTTTGAATAGGATCTGATATTAGATGTCAATTGGCTCTCATAAAGAAAATATTACATCTCCCTTCCCAATTGCCTGGGTTTATTTCAATCTTTGTGGGAATTGCCTCATAGCTTCGTCCTAAGCCTGACCACTTTTCCCGTCTCATTCCGATCGCTGGAATTAATCCAAACGGTATAGAATTACAATTACATCGCAGGCTTGACCACTTCCAATTCGAACTTTGAGGACGGAGATGGCAACATGAGCCCCAATCCAATTTTTGTGCATCCAGGCCTATCGCAAAAAAAAAAGAAAAAAACCTCTCGCAAAGATTGGGTGAACGGAACGACAGGTTTAATCATAGCTGTGGTGAGCGCCCTAAAGAGTCAATAGTCAAATAACCCCTCATTCTATCTTTGAAATGAGTGTCCGCTTGTGTTCATCTGCGAGGTGCAACATGACCCAAAGTTTCAAGAATCCGACACCGAGGCGGATCTATGTCTTGACTGGGAAGGGGCTGGCAGTGTCGGGGGGTCCGTGGAGATGTGACGCGGAGGGGGAGAAAAAAAAAGAAAGGTTTTTTTTTTTTTAGACTTCCCTGAGGGGTGGTGGTGGTTCTCTCACGGTACTACCAGCCCAGCCCAGTGTTCTCCAGGGGTGGGACGTCCAGGTAAAAGTGTTGATAGATCAGGGTCACAGCCAGAGGAGCAGTCCCAGGAGCAACGAGGCTGTGAGAAGGAAGGGGCCGGACCGCCATCTCGGACCGCCGTCGGTGAGGAAGGGCTCCGGAGAGTCGTATCCGGATCCATCTGGAAGACACAGAGAGAAGAGGGGGAACGACACAAGACCGAACTGTGAGGGACGAACAGACAAGACAAGACTGTTTCAAATCACAAGACGTTCACAGAAAAAGTGGACAAGACAGAGAACTTTGCACACAGGACATTTATCACTATTCAATCATTATTTTGGGATTCTGTGAATGTCTTTTAAAACAACCTTTAGATTGATTCATTCTTTATTGTAACTAAATTAAAGCAAAGCATGAAGCACTTGAAATGCCTGAAAAGCTAAATAGAAAATGCAGCTTACACAATAAATAAATATAATATATTGGAATAATATAATAAAATGTTAGTCAATGTCAAATTTGTTATTTTTATGATTGAAAAGATTTGAATTGAGAGTGAAGGGAATATTGTGACTAATTGAAATCTGAAAGGTATCAAACTACATAAAATAAATATTGTAATGAAAACATGATAATATAATCCTCTGTTATGATATATTGCTTAAAATGGTAGGAATTAGAGTAGAATAGTAACACAATACATAAAAACATAATAACTCAATACAGAATATTATCTGTCCGGTTATGATATTGCTTTCTGAAAGGTCATAAAAACAATGGGAATTTGAATTTTGCTTATTTTGACATTCATCTAAGCACTAATTTCACTTGTTTATGTTTATACCTTCTGTGTAGACAATGTGTGTACAAGACAAGACAACAGTATTTTAACACAAAACAGGGATGTGTAACATCACGGGAGAATTAACCCAAGTTGACTATTTGGGAGAAACGAGTGGCATAAGAGAGGGGGGTAGACGGCTGCAACTCAGCTCTGCAGGGGTTCAACCAACCTAATTACAGTTTAATCACACCAGCTTCTGAAAGTGGAGCAGCTAACACACACTGTCACACACACACACACACACACTTGATATACTCTACATGGCCCTCAGCGCATTTTAGCGACAACATTTCACCAATGAGATGGAAGTTGCAATGTCAGAAGCTTTGAATTTCAATAAGGAGCTGGAAAAATGACAGGATGAAATAGGGGAAAAAACCCCCACTTGTTTCAGCATTTACAGAGGAAAGGGGGATGGGATTGGTTAGCCTGGTTTGGAAAGATCTGAGCCTGAAAAGCGGCAAGGGCTGACTCTTCGGGTTTTGCTTCAAAGCTGTGTCATTATCAAGGGAGAGGAGCTCCAGCGCAGGTTCAGAGCTAAAGTCGGGCTTATGGGCTGAGAACAAGCTGCTCCTATCTGCCCCTGAGAAGACTTACACATGGATTTCAATCGCACTATCTTTCACAATCAGTAGTCGCTTTGATTCAATTATGTGTCAAAACTGAAAGAAATGAGCTTAGGTTTGTGAAGACAGAATATATAGTATAGATAGTAAATCTACATGGAGGCTATTCATTCATCGGAACATACATAGCAAAAAAATCTCAAATTTGGCAAAATGTATCTAAATTTGAGCACATTTTGACTGCTTAACACAAGATTTGCCTTAACTCAAGATTTGCTAATGAGACAGGCGCAATTATCTAGTTTTAAAAAGATACAAGACATGTCTTCCTGGGAAATAAGACTAAATGGTTTTGTCCCATTGGCAATTCTTCTTTTAATACAGTCAGAAAGTACTCATATTAAGATAAACACTTTATTCAAGCAATTATAACCTCATATTTATTTATTTTTGAGTATAGACCATTTTGAATTTTTGACCCTTCAACAAATAGAAAATTCCATAATGCATGAAGCCGGATCAGCCTAATGTAGAAGTTGCCAAACGTTCTTGTTGTTGGTAAATTAAGGCATGCCAATCTGGTGATAAAACACACACTAATCACATGAGATCCATGCTGTGTAGAGTGCCCTGATGAAAAGGTAGTGAATTCTCTAATATATTTTTTATCTGGTTTCATTTGGACAACTATCATATAATCAATATGTCTTCCATGTGATATTTGTGGCCAAATTGTAACATCATTATAAAATATAGAATAAATAGAATAAAATATAAATAAACATGCTGTTTTGTTTCATTGTTGTTGTTGTTGTTGTTTATCAAAACATTACTTCAATAATTATGCTAAATATAGGCTAAAAATGTGTAAAAGCAATTTAAAAAAAATATATACATTAAGTAAAATAATGTTTGAAAGGGTGTATGAAGAAGACAACTTAGCTTGTAGCCTAAATACACATTTCTTATCTAATTAGCAAATCTTGTTTTAAAACGGACAAAATGCACCATAATACAAACAATTTTTGGCTCTTTTTTTGCAGAGGGACATTCCTTTCAACGCAAAAACAAAGTGCTATGTCCGAGTTACACAATGCACCTTAACAGTTTGAGTACGAGGATCCCAAATTGTTACTTTTATAATTATATTTACCACCAGTCAAAACAACCATCAAAGTTAACAAGTTTGTAAATGATATTCACTTAACATATCCTGTTTGATTTACAATGCCACCATGCATGTTTACTGCTTTCAAAGTCTGTAAACTGAAATGTGACTCTCAAGGAGCCATGTAATTGCTTTGTTGTCATGACGATGGTAAGAGCCAGGCTTCATATAACATTGTTCTAATCTTGTATTCCACATGTTTATTCATTCATATCTCCCCGACACATATCCCTTAATTATAGCCATCTGGAGATTGGACAGAGGATTTGGGATTAAGGCAATAATGTTATCAAACTTGTAAAACCAAAAACTATATCCAGATGTCCATTTTACTGGAGCAAAGTCACTGATTGTGTTTACAACGGAGAATACTTTATATTTCTCTATGCGCATCTCAGACTGGGTTCAAGTGATGGCTTGTTTACGAAGATGAGCCAAAAGACACAACTATCTGCTCTGAGTCCCATAATCTGTCATTACTGCAGTCCTCTGACCCGTGCATGCTTTTAAAAGATGATTTGGAGATATTGATGAAACGTATTCTTTGTCAAACAGACGGGAGGAGAAAGTCAAATTACACACCGGTTATGACGACATGTTTGTGTGAGTAATGGCTCAGCTTATCGTATTTTCGTAAATGTATTTAGGTTGTATACAAATATAACAATCTAACTGAATGTTACAAGATATATAAGAAAGTAAATAAACTGTATATAGCGACCTTCTCAGAGTCAAAGCGCTTCACAATTGGGCAGTGATGGAAGCAGGGTCGCCATACAAGAAGCGCATGCCGGATTATTGTACATGTTTTTAGTGGCAAACCATATACACACAGAAAGGTCTAGAGATGGAATCGAACCCAGGCTAACCACTGCACCGCCATGTCGCCAAGTTCTGAATTTAGTCTGATGTTGTCTGTCTGCATGCAAGATTGATACATACTTACAAATACAGATATTATCCTATTTTTCATGAGTGTAACAGTTTGATATATTTTTATGTGAACTGATTAATAAAGGCAAATACATTATAACAGTTTGATGAATTGCTTCCAGCTCTAATTATCAAATTAGATAAAAAAAAATCCAGTTCAATTGACATACAAGCAAAGTCATATTTCTCATGTCAAACAGCACTGTAGACTAAATTCGTTCTCGCCTAATAGATGGAACCAAATTCTTAAATTACTTAATGAGTAAATTATTTAAGCCTTTACCAAATATGTAATTTTTTGGGGGGAAAAATGTAAAGCTTTCCCTGTCATAACCCACTTTCATCCAACATGCTTTTATTCTAAACCTTACAAAACACCTCTCATGTATTGCGTCTTCAGCACGCCGCCCCTCGCAGCAGAGATCTAAGTGTCAGGCCGTGCTAACATTCTCTCTGCTCTCTCTGTTCCCTCTACAAGGACAGAAGGTCTCCCTCACACCCTCTGATGTGATGGGATTTGATCTGAAGTGTGGCCCGGTGCAGTCCTGTTGAGCCTGCACTGCGGCGGCTGCTCTGTGAATGTGGCCTGTGAATCACGGTGTTGCTGAGCCCCATATCAGCGACTCTAGCGAGCCCTAATTTGACTTTGATAGCCAATCTGAACCTATACTGAACTGGGTGTGTGTCTCTGTGTGTGTGTGCGTGTATGTGCATGTGTGTGTGTGTATGTGTGGGCGTACGTGTGTATGTGTGTACGCGTGCCAGTGTGTGCATGCGTATGTGTCTGTGTTTGTGTCTGCGTACAGGTGTGTGTGTGTGTGTGTGTGCACGCATGACTTACCTGGTGGTCTCACGTACACTTTGAGCTTTAGACATGCTCGCCCCACGTGGTTTGGATGCGGAGATGCTGAGGAGGGGGAAACAAAAGCAAAAAGGTTTGAAATAAGTTTACAAAGTTATTCAATTTCCACACTCATTTTGCATTATTAGATTTGTATGGAGTGAAAAATCTATTATCTTAATGCTTGTGCGGCTTATTACATTACGTCTGCGTGCATACAGATGGTCGATAATGAAATTCCTTAATTGTTTTTCAATCATTTCTTTACTGGTCATAGGAAAAAAAAAAACAATAATTGATGTTGCTGAATAAATAGCCTTTTACTGAACTGTTTTTGAACAGAGAGAAGATCAAAGCGCATAGGAAAGCCATTGTAACGGAGAAAGCTTTGCTGGGGCAGACACTTGTGCATCTCTTGAATAATAAAACTAATCAGCATCTTAATTCATTAGTACAAAGGATGCAAAAAGCTGAAGGCGGTCATTGAAGATTTTTGCCTAAAGTGCTATATATATATACACATTATGGACCATGGTTTAATGTAAAGCTAATTGGTTGGAATGAAATTAATTCAGTCCATGCAATTAAATCAGCTAAATGCAGTGGATGTCTTTGGGCAATACGAGGGTAATTATGAAGGGCATTATATGAAGCCACACAAGGCAAACAGCAGGAGTGATGTCAAGTGGTTAGTGGCAGTATTTTTGGCGAAAGTGAAAGCAACTAAATGGCTCCATGGGGAATTGAACTTTCTGAGGTAGTTGGGTAACAAGTTGCCAGTACCAAAAAGCCTCAGGGAAGCCACCTGTTTTGACAAGTTATAAAAACCAATAGGACAAAAATAAAACAATATATGTTTAGGAATGTCAGCAGTTTAGAAAGTATTTGAAAAAAATTGTTTGGAGATCAACTCAAGGGTTCCATCATATACACACACGCACGCACGTACACACACACACACACACACACACACACACACACACACACACACACACACACACACACACACACACACACACACACACACACACACACACACATTTTTAAAGTAGACCGTGAGAAATATTAATCAAATAATCAACATAATAACAAAGTCTTGTCATTTTTTGTATGTAATCAATCCAAATATGAACTTATTTTCCTTTTCAGAGTTTCATAACTTTTTAGACTTGCAAAGAAACACTGCTACACAAATATACATAAAAAGTCCATCCATCAGGTGTTGAAAGGTCCAGCAATGCCTTTGAGGATACAATCCAGTCCATAAATACAACTATAAATCTTGTTGCGTTTCTATTTGGATACACCCGCCCCTTCATAATTTGTCTCTACTTGACATTAATGCAGCTCATTACTTTGTGATGGCTTTTTATTGCTCAGAGCGGTGTATTAGTGCAATATAGTAAGGAGAAAGACTGGAGGCAATGTAAACAAGTACATAAACTACTGCTTAAGCCACAATTAGCTATATTTAACACTAAGACCCAGGAATCTGAAACTATTAGAACTCCCAGAGCAGTCATTTTGATGGTTCCCATTCAAATCAGTTTTGGTTTTCCATTACTTTTAATACAATTAAGTAATTAATCAGATTTTTATCTGTAATAAGCTCTAAAACTGGTTGATAAAAAGCTTGAAGTACAGAAATACAGTTTGTTGAAAGGTTAAAAACATTAACTGCTGACAGTAAATAGTGTGTTGCAGTTGTAATAAGCACTGGCTCTTCCCTGGTCAAAAACCAAGCAGACCAGTCCAGAACATGTCCAGAACCAGACCAGGACAAGTCCAGGATGAGTCAAATGAACAGACCTGTCAAAATGACTGCTCTTTCTCACGTCAAACTGAGATAGAAATAAACTACATAAAGACAGTTTGGAAAGAGCAAACATGAACATGAGCTGAGTGATCACACTTCCAAAACTCTGAGAGTTAGAGTTAAAGAAGACCAAAGCTTTGGTTTCATATACTTTGGCGTAATACAATATTGATGAGAAAGGAGTCTGCTGTTTTATACACTAAGCATTGGCTTGCCCCTGACTGTTTTGCTGTGACATAGCGGCAGATCACAGCAGTAGCAAATAGCAGAATTTCTTTTATTTGTGGCAATTGCTGAATCATCTGTGTATCATAGAAAAAAATGAACAAAACCAGGTAGGCAGGGGACAATGGGCATGTGGTGGTGAATGCTGGAGAAAGAGGAGAACTTTGAGTAGGAAATGATAAATGCATAGATATAATCAGGTCTTTACAGATAACTGATGTGGGTCCACTACAGCACTGGCTTTTGAAGTTTTGCTTCAGAATACAGAGTAAATAGCTATCTGCAATAGTTGTGACCAACATTACGATGCAATTTTTGATAACAACTTCAACAGAGTTACATTTGAAAAAAGCAAACATACAGTATGAAACCAGAACCTGATTTACATTTCCCACACATTTTGGTGAATATTTCTAACCCATTGTCCCCGATCGTACAACCAACTTTTTTTGTTGTTTTCTTTGCATCAATCTTTTCTCCCAACATTTATGCATTTTGATTCAATTGATTAATGTGCAGAACTATTAGAGAGTCAATACACAAACCAGCTCTTTTCTCTCTTTACTGACCCCTTGTGGCTGCAGTTAATATCTATTTACCATCAACCATCACCTTGAAGGTTATAATCTCAAACTAAGTGGTAAATATGTGAATCTGGACGAATGTGAGTGGACAAAAAAGCTGTAGGTAGCGCTAACAGGTCAAATTGAGATTTAACCGCTCACATTCACAGCTCCGAGGGATACAGACGCCCAAATTGAGCTGACTTGAATGTCTTTAGTAAGGGCCAGCCAAAGCAAATCTCCCACAGACCAGCATGAGCTAACCGCTGAGCCGCCGTGCTGCCCTCTCTCTCAATAAAATCAGAAAAATGTTAAAAAGTTCAAACTTCAAAGTCCAAATTGAATCTAGTTTTCGTCCCACCTCTGAAGTGAAATAGCGGAGCAGACCTGAGTGAGGCAGAGGGTGGCCTAAGTTTACCCGGTTGGTATGGGGGTGCGTGGAGACCTTTTGCCCTCATCCCTGGAGGATGTCTGCTCTGGGAGTGACCCGTGCTGCCCGTCATTAGGATCGTCAGCGCACAGGAAATAAAGCTGACCCCTGCGCTGGCCTCTCCTCCCTCCTATACTGCCCTTCACCTCCTCAGCTGAAGCCCAATTCTTTGTCTCAAATTTCCTCAAATTGTTCTGCGACGTCGCGTGCTCCCCCGTGTAGAAGGAGATGTGTTTGTGGCTGCTCTCTCCCTTGCAGCGCCTGCGTTTTGTGATAAGTGAGAATGTTTTTTACTTTTACACAGCGAAAAGATGATGTTGTTGCGAAAGATAAAGTTTGGATTGAATGAATCAGACTTAAAAAAAAATATGATGCACTTTTTGGTTCATTTTGAGAAAGTGAAAATATTTCTTATGTAGAAAATACATGGGTACAAATGAAAAAATGAGCATGGAATGACCAGAAAGAGGAAATTAAATTATGTTAAATTCAAATCTAAATCTAGTATGGTGTAATACGGTGTAAATTTTGTGTTGAATTGATCGAAGAATTTAAAAAAAACAGTAACTTCCCATTAAACCATAACCAAACAAAGGCTTCACATTTATCACTTTGCATGTTATGGGTCTGTATCATGTACAGTATTTGTTTCACATTCTAATTTGAGATACAGAAATGAATTAACTTTTAAACAAAATTCTGAGTATTGAAAATAAATGCCAGTAATGAATAGTTATTTTTGTCATTGTTTTAATCAATCAAATTAACCTTCAGTGGCGGCCGGCCAATAGAGGGCGCTAGGGCGCCGCCCCACCACTCACAACTTGCCATGTTACCTTGAATAAAACGTTAAAAAAAATAATAACATTAAAATATTTCGAAATTTATGTGTGTTTTATTTCAGATGTGGAAGAAATACTTTATAGTTTATGCTGAGTTGGATTGATTAAGCTCATCAGCGTTGTCTGTGTCGGACTGAGGACGTATTTCCGCCTCAGGGCGCAAAAGATTGCGCCCTGAGCCGTCTATGGACTCTCGTTAAAAGTTGTACATGCGCAGTAGCTCCTCTTCAATGCAAGAGATAAGACGATTTGGGGGCGCAGGAGAAGTGCGCCCTGAGGGGGCGGGATCGCCCGCGACCTGTACTGTCACTGTCTGTGACGTCCGTTTACAGTGATTGACAGGTCAAGCTGTGGGAGTTTGAGACGAACGTAAAGAGACGCAAAATGGAGAACGAAAAAAAGAATAATTCAGTTAGATCACTCAAAACAATACCGTTTGAGAGAAGATCATACCAGGAGAAGGTTGAGGTTAAAGAGCTTGGACCTGATCAGCCAAATATTACCATTAGTCAGCAGTCCAGCGACAGGGGGAGACGGTACACTCGTACTTTTTCCAGGACCTGGTTCAGCGCCAAATCTTGGCTTGCAGCATGTAGTGAGGCTAATGCTTTATTTTGCTTTCCATGCCTCTTGTTTCAAACATCAGGATCTGACCCAGCATGGATCAAGACAGGTATGATGATCTGATCTGAAGCACTTTTTAGAAAAGGCAAAGAAGCATGAGCAGACTGGTATCCACATGCAAAATGCCCTCAAATTAGCTATGTTTGGGAAGATAAATATTTCATCCCAGCTGGATGAAAGCTACAGGGTAGGGATCAGAAAGCACAATGAGGAGGTTGACAAGAATAGGCACATCCTATCAAAAATAATAGACTGTGTCAAATTCTGTGGTGCATTTGAACTTGCCCTGCGATCCTGATCATGTGACCTTGTTGATTCTCGTGTGAGGCTTCAGTCACAACAGTCAGTGTAAACTTACTTACTGCTGATATATATCTAGTCATCATATTCATAGCCCCCCCAGTAGAAAATTCCACCAGCCGCCACTGTTAACCTTCTTCTTCTTAAACGGCTACATACATGCTGACTGGGTGTTGTGACATCCATCTTTTGGTTAATCTTCAGTTAAAATAACAACTATTAACTTGCGACAGAATTGTTTTGTGGTGTGTGTGACTGGTCTGCAAACTGAGCAACCCCTCGACTGAGAGACCTGAGAAAAAATTCCACTAATGCCATTTTGAAGAAGTGGTGTATGACTCCACTGGTGTCTGAACCTCCATTGAAAACCACTGGAGCTCATCATCACGGCAGCTGGGAAGAGTTAGGGGCGGGACACAGCTGTCGCCACGTCAACCACATGTCAATCACACGTCAATCCCAAAGGTCAAGGATCAGAGGTAAAAGCTCTCATCACTGCTGCTTTAAATTCAACAAATCATTCACTAGGAGAGTTTCTGTTTAAACTAACAATAACAATTTCAATTTCAACTAATATAAATAATCACATTGAAGACATCTATGCCCCTTATGCCTATGCACGTTATACATATCATAATTACTTTACTTCACTTTACTTAATTACAAAAGCTATTTTTTGTGATATTATGTTAATTTCATTTCTAAGTTCAAAAGTCACATTGTTTTGTACTGTTAAATTCACTATAGCAATGGAACCCACGCACTGTATGTTTTGACATTACTGTACATCCCATGCAATCCGTCAATATTCTTAAAACCATATATATTTTTCTTGTTATTATTTTCAACAAATTTTCACATCTTCACCCACATCTTTCCAGCAACATTTCCCGTAAATACCCTGCTAGAATTAATCACCAGTTTGCGTATTCACCGCCGACTCTTTTCCGAATAACACCGTGTCCAAACCGGTCAACACTGGCGCGCTCCTTTCACACGTGCACTAAATATGTGTGGGACATGTGAGTGCGAGCGGACATGGGAAACAGCGGAGCGAGCGCCATTCCTGCCCGTCAAACTGATAGACATGGCCTTTTCACGGACTCACAATCACTTGACAACTGACCCCAAAAACCTCTCCTCGCCTCCCTTCCCCCTTCTCTCCACTTCCACACACACAAACACACACACACATATACACACACACATACATACACACATACACACACACACACATAAAGCTGTATACATCCACTAGTACAGTATCCCCGGGGGTCCCTTTGACACAATACTAAAAAGTCAGCAGCTCTGCAGTTCGTATGGGGCCCTGTCTGCATCTATAGTCTACATACATGCATGAAACGGCAGACAAAAGGGAGCAGGGCAGTAGGACATCATTGCTGGGATATCTCACACTCTTTAGCCCCATATCTTCACCCGCTGCGGCTTTGTGAGGCCTGGTTTTTGAAGAAGTTGTTTTATCGACAAGTGGGGCGAATTAGACGGCGTGTCGGGGAGGCGGTTGTCATAGATAACGGACAAGGCGGCAAAAAAGTGAAGGGTTTGTATTTCAATTTGTGCGGGAAAGGAGGTATTGACTACATAAGATTACGCTACGCTAAAATGTAAGGTTATTGTGTTAGTTGAGTTAGTTATCCGTAGTGCAAAAGACTAAATCCTGAAGCTATTGGAATGACTCTAGTGTAGAAGCAGTAGCTGCATGTGCCTCATTATTCACTAGCAGCACGACAACACCAATGAAGCAATTACAGGTTCAAGCGCAGGTCTTTAGTGTCGCCCTAACAATATAACAGGCTGCACTTTGTTAATTAGCCATTTACATTAGGCAACCTGCGGTGCAAATAGTCACAGAAGTAGCGAGGTGTATTTTCTTCTATACTTGGAAAGTTTGGACATAGTGAAGATGGTTTCTGAAATTCTTGTTTTTTTTTTTTTACGACAGATTTGGCTTTAAACTACCCGGATGTGGTAAATCTATCCGTGGCCGAGCAGCTCAAAGCAATATTTAAGAGTAATCTGAGCTAGTGGTTGTCCCCTGGCTTTTGGGGGAATGATAGCTCTTAAATGTGCTCAGAGGAGCGGTCTCCGGGGGCACCACTGTCTGTGATACTAATACATCACTTGTTGAAAGGGGGAGAAACATCGATAGAGCTAATATAAAAATGATTACAGAGTCCGCCTGGTGTCACTTTTAGCACTTGGCTGAGCGCTACGTTTATGAGCGCAGCTGAGACACAGGAAATATTGTGAATCAAAAGACTGGAGGAGAGAGAAGAGGTGCACGCAGTGAACTTCTGATTTGAAAGCTTTAGAGGAGGAATCCCAATCACGGCCTGATTGCATATTTACATACACTTTAAAGCCCAAATTGTCATGGTGTGCATTTTGTGTTGTTTGGTACTTTTAGTAGTTAGCAGTTATTTTGTGGTTTCATTATTACTTTTACTACCTGTCCTTTTCTCCTGTTTGATTGGCTGCCCCGCCCTAATGTTTTTTACCTGTGTCTCTGTCTATATGTACCTGTGCTCTCTCTCATGTGTTGCAAGTCCATTGTCTTTGTCTGTTAAATTTTTATTGTATGTTGAACGTCTTTTTGCACAACCTGAGTGATACTGTTTTTGCCAAATGTGAGATCAATACAAATTTTCTTTATCTTATCCTCGTCTGTCGTTTTCTTGATTCTCGTGTATCATTTTGGAATAATTTCATCGTCTTCATTAAATCATTAAAAACCCTGCATTTAGGGTCCTTCCATCACTTCCATAAACATGACACATATTTAGGAACGAGCAGCTCTCATGCAAACACAAACACATACACACAGTATACACGTACAGATGTAGTAGTATTCGTGCCCAGGCCTGAACTCAAAGCCCAGGGAGAAGGGGGTGAAGAGCTGGAACTTCTCCGAGAAGCGCAGGGGCCCGTCAGGACCGCTGGGCCGGTTACACTCCCAGCGCTTGAAGCCCCTCATGCGGTGCTGGCAGGTGGTGTAGCCCTCGTGGTTCACCATAAACAGGATGTAGCGCTCCATGCGGCCATGTGACGGAGGCCCCTCGTAGAACGGACAGTAGATGTCCAGATAGTCGTTGATGTTGACCGAGACTCTGTACTCGCCGTGCCAGAACCTGCGGACAAAAGACAGCTTCGGTCAGATTTAGGGCCTAAAATATGGATGCAATCAGCAGCAGCAAACAACAGGAAGTGTTTTGGGTGATTTGAGAGGAGAGCGCGGCTGGGACACTGAATATGTATGACTGGGTTACATTTCTATATGATTGCAGCGCATGAGAAAACCACAATTAAGACAGTCATTTTGGAAGCTCTGATTATGTCTTCTCCAAAGTCCTTCTGCACACAGAGCCACAGATTCTCACTTACAAAGGGCAGAGCTAAATCTTCCAGATGTGTCTCTATAGGACTCTCCATCCATTCTCCGCAAATAAAGTGCTCACAGCCACCTGAGCCACTACAATAGACACAAACACAACACCCGCCAGCGTTTTCTTTACTGATTCATGAACAGAAGAATCGATGGCAGCCCCGCGGTGATGGGCCTTGTGTGGTTCCGCAGATAACTGGGTCGTGCCTTGCGGTTAGAGTCCACTTAGCCGAACGCAGATCACTGACTGGATGAATAGAAATGGGTCAGAGGTTGCAGAAATAGCAGAAGTGCATACATAATAAAGGCCATGTCGTGCTCTTTGCTACCGTGGCCCTTCAGGGACAAATCTGAGATGCGGGGAATCTGCAGTAGTACATACGGAAATGAATAATAAGAAGTTTAAAGCGAGTTGGCACAACATATGGCGGTGCGTCCCATATGATAAACTATTTATGTGCATGTTCCAAGGCCAGTGCTGCCCCTCTCTAACGGCTGACTCACTCTGGAGATGATTTGGTTTCATATTTTTCTTTATACACAAATGATCTGATGTCAAAAACCATCACAGCATTGATTCATTACTCTGGCTCTGTTTCTCGGCGATGGATATTTCCACTGTCACTGTGATGAGTTGGACAATCTTGCCGAATCACATCGACCCAGTTCTGATCCATGGCTTTTAAAAAAACTAAAACTATAGACTCTACGGGCTCCAGATGCGATCTCTGCTGCACAAATATTGGATTCATGACTAGTGGTTTCAATACTGAATGGATGGACCTTTTGCTTTGCTTTCCGAGAAAAACAAAAAAAATGGCAGAAATGTCTTTTATTGTGCATGTAATCTACTAAAATCCTTAAAACACAAACTACATATCATGAATAAAATTTAATATGTACTGTATGTCCCTATATTTGCAATATGTACAAATAAGATAAATGATTCCTAAATGGTGGTTTTGGTATTTGTAAAAGTCCCTCCATAAATCTCAAAATGCATTATTAAATCCCAGAGCTGGAGTGAAATGGGACCACTATCAGCTTTTGTTTTGGACAGTCTGTTTATACTTGCTCGACTAAGTGGTTCTTTAGCCGTGCTGGTGAATAAGGCCGACATGCCTAAGTGTCTGTGAGTGGTAACTTTATGCTGACCCCTTTTTTTTGTTTTGTTAAACTGGATTTAATTTGAGGCATGCGGAAAAAAATCTGTAAATGAACGCCCAGCGACTCTATGCAAAAGTCTAATTTGACAGGGTTGAGTAGCACATCACACATAATGATTTCAGCCTTTGACAATAATCACAAACAATGTATCCACAAGAATCTCATTTGAATACATTAATAACATCATGTATAATTTCACCATAACATCAATACCAGAGAAAACACAACTGAACCCTAAATATTTGATGTTGTGATATTTTATGTACCACTTCTCCATAAACAACGCGTCCTCAGGGTACAAACCGACCATCCTTTTCCGTTTCATTGTCAAAACTGTTCAACATGGCGCTCTCTAATGCCTTTGTGCCTTCCTCTATGGCTTGTCATTAACATTGTACGATCAATTTAGCATCAAATGTGGCTTGTCGCGCTCACATTATTAAATCTTGTATCTCCAAAATTCAAAATGGCGGAAAACATCTTGGATCAAATAAGGCGTAAACAAGAAAGACGGTCTCCAAAGAAAAGATTCTTAACAAATTCATCACCTGCTTTCAACCTTGGCGGTAATTGATTACGGGATAAAGACGTTTGGGCATAGCTTTGGGACAATTTGCACTCCTGGTCTAAAAGATGAAGGCTGTAGGGCTCCCAGCGGGCGAATAAGGAAGTAAGCTAGATGTGAAATGAGCGGCTTCATGCTTCGGCGCCCTATCAGAGCTGGTTTGAACGCACTTTTAAAAGGGACCCTTGAACACATCATTTAGAAGCATTGATCCCCAGGAGAGAACCGCTATACGGGCCGCGCTGGCTCCAATCAGCTCCGATTAACAACTGCAGGCAGAAGGCACAGGGAGCAGCTGAATGAGAATTACACTCAAAACAATGGAAGGGAGAAGAGAGGACTTATGGGAGATTTCAAAGGGGTGAATGGGCCAGGCTATTTTGGTCAACAAAGTAAAGAATGAAAACATTGAGCAGTATAGGGATTTCGCAAATCTCTGAGCTGCTTTTGTAAAAGTGAGAAGCTTTTGAGGTGAAATGGTCAAATGTTATACAGTTGTATTAATCTTGTTTAGAAGATCGATACTGATGTTTGCAGGAGAAAAGAGAAATGGTGACTACTTGCATTCAAATAACAAAAAGGCCTTATAAAAGCACGAGATTATTTTTTTCCAATATAAACATAGGAGCTTATATAGCAGTAAAAAAAAAAATAGAAAAAACTCCCAAATGCATAGATATTTATTCTTCTAAACTGAGAAAACATTTAAAGCCAGATGTTAAACAATGTATTTTAGTTTAGGAAAGTTACTCTTGTCTTCTTTGTAGATTATTTTGTTCTTTGATGTCAAGGTAAAAACATTGCTATCTGGTATAGAAGAACCAAATCACTTTTATTTGGTGACAAAACCACTACATATATTTTTTGGCCTCGGTCACATCATAACATCAGGTTTCAGACATAAATGGGACTACCCTCACTCAGCCAATCAGCTATCAGCCTAAAATGTCCAATAGTGACTTACCAGGGTTAGGGTTAACATTTTCTAATGAGATGGAGACAGCATGGTCCGATTGTTCACAGAATGGGACTTTTACATATTCTGTTAGGACAAATACATGTATTAATTACGAAACATTAAAGTTGGATCCCCCACCTTTAAAGTTCAAATATGTCAATATTAATTCAGTTTTCAAGAAGTTTTTCCCATTACATAAAACATACTATATGACTTCATCACCATGGCTGACCCGAAAGGCCACTCAATGTCGCTATAGGTTGACTCACTCAATGGCTTTCACGTACAACCAATTTCTAGCTAAAAGTGAAAGCCTGTGTCCGCGCATGCAGGTCTGTGATTGGATAAAGTGGTCCGAGATCCGTGCAAATCCTCCATCTTTACGAAAGGGGCCAAAGTGCCAAGTCACATTAGCTTTTATTAATGTCCTCTGCTCCTCTTCCCTGCTGCTCTGACACCAGCTAATACATTACACCGCCCAGGTAACTGTCCCACAATCCTTTGCTCTCAGGAGTGTCATCTGAAATTAAACAGCGGGCTAAAAGACACAGGAAAGCACTCAGAGATTCTTCTCACTCTTTTTCATATGGAACCTGCGTGGAGGTGTCAGCCAGAGATCCTTATTTTTGCATTTGTCACCGGAAGATAAAAGACTTGGGGAGTATTACAGTGATACGTGCCACCAGCAGTGCAGTGATATGAGGGGGCGGGCATGCAGCTGTCACAACATTGTAAGCAAAATGACAAACATGAAAAACAGCCCATATGCATTAAGAGACAGGGATTGTCACCAACATACAGTGTACATTTGAATGGGCTTTTCATTTGTGTAATATCATGGCTTGTAGACAGTCTAATCCTGTTGTATGGAGAAAGAGAACACAGTTTGAAGCGATGTTTCATTCATGATGTGAAAAATAAGGGGATGGTAGATCTCAAAAAGTTGTATTACTCTAGCTGCATTCTTCAACATGTTTTGTTATTGGCAGTAACTTTTTTTGTATGGCACTCAAATAGATCTAGCATTTCAAATATTTTTTGAATGGCACTTTTAGGCGACCCAAATAATGGGAAAACATACTGTACCTATTGTTTACATGAATCCTAACTACAGTACATACATTAAAGTTGATTTTTGTTGTTGATTTGTTTACATTAGATCTGATTTAGTGCAAATAGATTTGGTTGCTTGTCTTTTTCTCTCGAATGTAATAAGTAATATACCTGCCCCGCCAAATGTTTTGACTCCAAAGAGTTCTAAAATCATAGCGGTTTCCCCCCCCCCCCGTTATTGTTGAGAAAATCATGACAGAAAACAAAAAAAGTCAAAATACTGAATCAGAATCACAATTATTTTTATGGCCATTGTAAGTGCTGTCATAGCCTGGCCATAGCCAACCGTACACTCCGCTCAATCATCATTTCACCGCATGTAACGTCTGGGTCTGGTTCCTGTGTTTGCGCGGAACGGGCAGGTTGTAGTTTGGCAATGGCGAAGAATACCATAGTGAAGTATTCCGGTCTGGTTCTATCAAAAAAACGAAGCAGAAGCTAGAGGAATGTTTGGCAAATGAAATTGATGGAAAAGATTGTAGCGCTACTCTCCACGGGCTCCTTTAGCGGCAAAGGAGATGACTAAAGCTAGGCTAAATGCTAACGACTCGGGTGCATTACATACGTGACGGTAATCTCAGATCCAATCGTTTCAATCTGCAAAAGGAGTCATTGGAGCACCTCCAGACCTTAGTACTAAATGTAATTTGTACTATAGTGTGGTACGACCAGGCTAACGTCCCAATCCACCATGAGAACAATGTTTCTTTCTCTTGGAGTCAAAGAATAGTTAATGGAGACCAGAGTTTTAGATGCCCAGTAATTAATTGCAATTATTATGTTTGCATTTTCTCATAAGCCGACTAAATGAAGCCATTCAATTCACAATGATTGAAATGCATTCCCATAAAACACTCCCAGAAGACCAAGGCACCAGCCATTTTTTTTATTTAAATTCGGTGTTGCACTTTTCCATGCAAAGTGCTTGGTTGAATTAGATTTATGAGGAAATGCATAGCTCTGCCGCTCCCGTGCTATCGATAGCGCTTAGCCTCTTAAGCCGCTAAAAGAATGATTTAAGTGAATTGGAAGTGAGGCCCATACACACTAATATGATTATTGATACTGTAACACAGAGCTGCAGTGAAATCTAAAACTCCGCCGCTCGATCTCAATGCGATTTGAAAACACGGGCAACGCAGCACTAAAAATACCACTAATATGGATATGAACTCTGTGTACAAAGGGAATGATGGATGCGGTATGTCATTTGGCTGAACATGTGTGGGCTGCTGCCTCTTAATGATGTTATGTACTGGGAGAAATGAGTCGCTGGTATATCGCAAAACCAGCAAAATAAAGATTGAGAATATTAAGTACTCCCAGATTTTTTAAACTAACAGAGTCGACGTTTTGACCGCCCCATTCAAATCAATAGAATTATGAAAAGTTAGTGAGTTTACCATCCATTTTATTCAAATTTAACTTTACTCACTTTTTATAAGTGGGAAAAGTGGTGCATATAGCTTGAAATATACAGAAAGTTTGTTGAAAGGCTAAATATTAAATACTAGCATGTTTACAGTATGGCGCTGTGGTTACTAGGAAATGAACAGACCATTTAATGAAAATAACAATAATAAACTACATAAAGAAACAGAAAAAGTTATGAAGATCAAAAATGTGCATGAGCAGAGTAAATACACTTCCAAAACAAAAGGTCGTCAAATTGGCAGCTCTGTGAGTTCTAGTGTAATTCTTTTGAAAATATATATTTTTTATAGTTTTGAGGAACCTACTAAACATCCTCTCAAAACAACATGAAATCTAACAGACCAACAATGGTAGAAAGTAGCCCTATAAAAATATCGCTCTCAAACAGAAAATGAAAGTAAAGTCCCTGCAAACATGCACTTAAAGCTGGGGTATCTAACTTTCAAACCAAAATGCTAATATGAAATACTGTACAATCCATGCTCTCAAAACAGTTTGGTTCTATCACTAGGTTTTGCAGGTACTGTATGTATTTTTTGCCTTCTGACACATTTCTAGATACAGAGGAAGAGAGCATCAAGCATCTCTCCGCCCAAAGAGTCAAATAGTGACTCACAGGGCTCTTTCTTACACATTTGCAAAATATACACAATGTTTCAAAATTAGGATGAAATCAGAATGTAGCGGTCTGATCTATGCATTCAACAATTCACTTTTACAAGACTCTTAATGTGCACGGGGCGTTAACATTTGTTTATTAAAGTCAAAGTTTATTCATGTTGCACAATTACAACTACAAGGGATAAAACATCCATCCATCCATTTTCTTCCATTTCATCTATTACCGAGTCGCGGATAACACATAAAAACACAATATCACAGAGCAAAAAAAACAACCATGAGTCAGCTCAATGTGAAAAACCAACAACAACAAAAAGCTGTGTTTTTTAGACGAAGAAAAAGTGATATATTCTTTCTCTACAACTTTAACAACAGAGTATTTTTGAAATACTCCCAGCTTCTTACAAAGCAAACATCTCTCTCCTCACAGCAGACAACAGCCTCCATCCCAGCTTCATATACGACACACAAATTCAAACAGCGCCTCCTTCTTTGCTCTCAAGCTCTTTTGTAAACTCTCCTGAATGAGAAATAGTCTTTGTATTTCCAGGATAATAAGATTTTGATTATCTTTCATTTTTGGTGAGAAATAGCCCCTGTGTTTGCACCATATCGACAGTCAATAATCGTCCTC